TGGTAATTTTGTAGGAGCTGGGGAATACTATCACTAACCATAGCCTATTGCTGGCAACTTTATACCCTGTGGATTCTGGTTCAGCTTCACGAAGCAGTGCCAGGCAAAAGGTACAACAGATATGTGGAGCTTGCTGAAGCTGCATTTGGTAAGATCTCCTTGCACTCCACAAATCCTAATACCAACTTTTATAGACCTGTATGTCATCTTCTTAAGAAATTATTAGAGGTTTGTGATCCCACTTCGATTGGAGAGGAGAACGAGACATTTCTTATAAGAGTGTGGAAATCTCTCCCTTGCATACGTGTTTTAAAACTGTGAGACTGAAAACGATATGTAACGGGTAAAAGCGAACAGTATCTGCTAGCGGTAAACTTGGGCGGTTACCAGAGGCAATTTCCATTAGAAACATGTTAAACAGCATCCTTCAATCTTGGAACCGTGCCATCTAATCATCACTGAAGCGTATTCAACACATTGGTTAAAGGATTTTGTTTTATAATTTTCAGGGGAAAGATTGGGTGTATGGCTTGCTGTATTTCCTACTGCCTACTTATCAGCAGGAACTGCAACCGCATTGATCATTGTTGGAGGAGAGACGATGAAACTCTTTTTCCAAATAGTGTGTGGGCCGCTGTGTTCATCAAATCCTTTAACAACTGTAGAGTGGTACCTTGTATTTACATCTCTCTGCATTGTTCTTTCCCAATTGCCAAACCTCAATTCAATTGCTGGACTTTCTCTTATTGGAGCTGTGACTGCCATCACTTACTCCACCATGGTTTGGGTCCTCTCTGTTAGCCAGCAAAGGCCTCTCACGATCTCTTACGAACCCCTTTCAATGCCATCGCCTTCTTCTTCTGTTTTCTCTGTCATGAATGCACTTGGAATCATAGCCTTTGCTTTCAGAGGCCATAACTTGGTTTTGGAAATTCAGGTGTGCCTTTTGCATCACTTTCTAAACCCCTTACCGTCAATTGAGTTGCTCTTTTTGGTTGAATCTGAATTATGTTTGTTTTGGTGTCTCTCAGGCAACAATGCCATCAACATTTAAGCACCCTGCTCATGTTCCCATGTGGAGAGGAGCCAAAGTTGCGTATTTTTTCATTGCAGCATGCTTGTTTCCAGTTGCTATTGGTGGATATTGGGCTTATGGAAATCTTGTGAGTATCTATCTTTGTTCTTTTCGAGTGAGCTTGGATGGTTAACGATTGACTATTGTTTCGCAGATGCCTTCAGGAGGGATGCTTAATGCTATATATGCATTTCACGGCCATGATATTCCCAGAGGGCTTCTTGCCATCACTTTCCTTCTAGTTGTGTTCAATTGTTTGAGCAGTTTCCAAATTTACTCGATGCCCGTTTTCGACAACTTTGAAGCTAGCTACACAAGTCGTACTAACCGCCCTTGCTCGATCTGGGTCCGTTCTGGTTTCCGTGTCTTCTATGGATTTGTCAACTTCTTCATAGGAGTAGCACTTCCTTTCCTCTCCAGTTTGGCTGGTCTGCTAGGAGGACTCACTCTTCCAGTCACATTTGCTTACCCTTGCTTCATGTGGGTTCTCGTGAAAAAGCCTACTAAATTCAGCTTCAATTGGTACTTCCACTGGACATTGGGCTGGCTAGGCATTGCTTTTAGTTTGGCTTTCTCAATCGGAGGAATCTGGAGTTTGGTTACCTGTGGACTAAAGTTGAAGTTCTTCAAACCCAGTTGATCAAAGAATCATCATCAGATCAGAGCAGAGCCGCAGTTCTAAACAAATGAGATCTACCTAGAAGTGTGTCATATATCGATATTTTTACGTGGATATAGTTTAAAAGTTCGTAAAATTCTCTATCGAAACATGGAAAATCTGGTTTGTTACTTTGTCCATCTATGTTTTATGGTTTCGTTTCTGATATCAAAATCTCGTCAGTTGGAAAATGCATTCGATTACCGGGCAATATGCAACACATCACTCGAGTATCATTCAGCTAAATTTCCAACTTATTACGAGCTATAACTCTTTATCTGAGCACACCTTCTATTATAAACTGATCTAAAACACCCTAACTTCTCTTCAGCCTCTGATGGTGTCCAAAGAGTCTCATGATAGTTACTTATTCGAGATTCAACTGTCTAAAGACAGCGGAGGACGTTTCATCAGCTGATTCTTGGCTTTACGATTACGTGCAGCGGTTGGAGCTTGCGAGCAGTGAGGCCAAGAGTGTCCACCTTGTCCTCTTCCCCTTCCCCCAGCTTCCACTCAAACTCTTGAACAAGCCTTCCAATGGATGTGCAAGCTATCAGCATTGCCTTGAGAGCACCTGCGCACACCCTCTTCCCTCCTCCAAAGGCCATGGTTTTGTGCAGATCCATTGGATCATATTTCTCATCCAGAAACCTCTCTGGCTTCCATTCCTCAGGGCTTTCCCAACGATCCTTGTCCATGTTGCAGGCGTAAATATTCACGGCGATCTGCGAACCAAACATCATCAGACATAGTCAAATCAAATTACACTGGAGGGTTCATCAAAGGTTACAGGATGGCTCACCTCACTCCCTGCAGGAACAAAGAACCCGCCTAACTGGGCATCTTCATGCACATATCGCAACGGGACGATCGGTACTGGACTATGCTTCCGTAGAGTTTCATGAAACACAGCAGTCAGATACGGTAGCTTCGACAGGTCATCTTCAGTAAGCTTTTCAGAGCCACAGACACTCTGTATATGCTGATATAGATAGTCCTGCAAAGTCGAAAGGTTTCATAGAATGACTTTAAGAATTGGACAGACAAGAAAAACAACAGAAATGGTAGTGTTCTTAGGAAGTTGCCTGTCGTTCAGGATTTTTGGCAAGTTCATACATAGCCCATTCTGTTACAACTAAAGTAGTGTCCGAGGTTTCAATGATTGTCTCCCAAAGCAACATAGCTATCTGATGTTCTGTCAGTGTTTTTGCTTCAGACAACAAGAAGTCAGCATAGCAATTCGTTTCCTGTTAAAGATTCAAGCCAAGACATTAAAGAACTCTCTGCAGCAGAGCAGATTCAGTTCAAGACAACAAAGAACTACCTCCCCTGCAGCAATTCGTTTCTTCTGCTCCTCAATTAGGCTCATCATCGTCACTCGCCTGCGATAATCCATCTGCCTGATCTTATTCTCCACACTCTTGTTGGGAATCCATTTCAGATATGGGAAGAAATCCCTCCAATCAACCTCGATAGCACCCTCCATCAGATCGATCACGAGAACCCTGAACAGATCTTCCCTTGGCAACGTTGTACCGAGCCCATCGACATATATAGACTCGATATCTTTCCCAAGTGTCTGCCAGGGAAATCATGGAAGTTAGATATCTATCCTCCTCTCTAAACAGAAGAACAGAATCAACTCACTTCTTTAAGCGCCAGTAGGAAGAGTTCCGATTCGAATATCTTTCGAAAATTGACAGATTCTGATGGAGAATCCTTCACATGAGCAAACAACTGGCTGGAAATATTGTCTATCATGCTGTCTCTTCTTTGTCTGTGTCTCTTCTGAAAATGAAACAGATCAAACTATTAGATTTAATCCAAATCAAGAGAAGAAGAAGGGAGAAACAACCTGTGCATTAGCTCCCAACACATTGGCCAATATGTACTTCTTGACCATCTTGTGAAAGTCATTGTAATCGCTCATAGCAACCATGCATTTATCAGAAGTCAAGATGGTGAGTGCTTTGCTTAGCTTTCTACCGGACATGGAAGCGTACCTCGTTACCATAGCCTTACAAGAATCAAGACAAGAACAGAGCAGAGTTAGAATCAGAGGACAGAAGTTGGCCGGAAAACAGCCGTAATTCATACCTCTTTGGCGACCTCGGCGGTGTTGAGAACAATCACAGTGGAGGCGCCGGTTCTTATGGAGTAAATCGGTCCGTACGTCTCAGCCCACCGTGCAAACGTTTTGTGAGGCTTCTTCTCCTTCAACTGCAACAAATTCCCCAGCACCGGCAACCCCGGAATCGCTACAAAACCAAACCACCATTCCAAAATTCATTAGATCATCAATTTCACATCATTACCACTAAAACCCCTATAATCAGATCGAGAATCAGAAGCCGGCTGTACCCGGCACCGGAGGGAGAAAATTCCGGCGACTCTTTCTCCAATCGGCGACGAGAAAACCTGCAAGTAAGAAAGAGATGACACCCAGAATGGCGGCTGCCGCATACGGCGGAGCCTGAAGGGTGTCGAGGAGATGCTGCAAGGAGCCGAGAGGATCATTAAAAATCGCCATTTTCTGGAAACAGAGAAACTCGCAGGCAGTGGCGAAGAGTGAGGCGGGGATTCTTATAAAGGGGAGCGGCAGAGAATCGAGAGACCAATTGATGTGGGGAACACAAAAGCTAAGAAAAGAACAGCGGTGGCATTGTGCAGTACGAACATGCAAAGCCAGCAAAAACGCCAACCAAAAGCAAACTCTATGATTATTAATTATTTTTTCCAATTTCAGAAAAACAGAATTTAAAAATCAAAACTTTGGGTTCCGTTATTTTATTGTTGTTGGGTAGCGCTTTTGCTGTGATTCCTTTTCCGCGCCTGTTTCCATTTGGGAAGGAAGTGATGAACGATGATGATCATCCCTTTGGAATTTGAAATATGTTAATGCACTAAGAGTACAAGCAGGGTATCTGGACATCCCTCGAATGACTGAAATTACTATGTTGGCCCTTTTATCTACAAATTATATTTGTCTTCTCTACGGTATTTGCTTTAATTTAAATCGTAACAAGAATATGTTTATCATGGAACATAGATCATGTATATATATTTTGCAATCATTCAAAGCAACACGTGAATCATATTGAATTTCCAATGGCCTTCTTGCACACAGGAAGAGATCGTTACAATTCGTGGGGATCAAGGGTCCATAGAGTTAGTTATTAATGACGCTACCAACTAACTAAGAAACAAAACTTGAAAGAATGAAACTAAAAATGTTTAAATAGAGAGGAGAGTCGTATGACTTGCCACTTAGTAGCCTGGGAACATTGGTGGAGGCGGTGATGAGTACACGAAGCCCAAGTTTGGAGGGAGAATGATGTCTTCGACGGGTGCCTCGGGTGTTGGGGTCGCTGGGGGGCTTTCAGAGTCGACGGGTGCCTCGGGTGTTGGGGTCGCTGGGGGGCTTTCAGAGTCGACGGGTGCCTCGGGTGTTGGGGTCGCTGGGGGGCTTTCAGAGTCGACGGGTGCCTCGGGTGTTGGGGTCGCTGGGGGGCTTTCAGAGTCGACGTGTGCCTCGGGTGTTGGGGTCGCTGGGGGGCTTTCAGAGTCGACGGGTGCCTCGGGTGTTGGGGTCGCTGGGGGGCTTTCAGAGTCGACGGGTGCCTCGGGTGTTGGGGTCGCTGGGGGGCTTTCAGAGTCGACGGGTGCCTCGGGTGTTGGGGTCGCTGGGGGGCTTTCAGAGTCGACGGGTGCCTCGGGTGTTGGGGTCGCTGGGGGGCTTTCAGAGTCGACGGGTGCCTCGGGTGTTGGGGTCGCTGGGGGGCTTTCAGAGTCGACGGGTGCCTCGGGTGTTGGGGTCGCTGGGGGGCTTTCAGAGTCGACGGGTGCCTCGGGTGTTGGGGTCGCTGGGGGGCTTTCAGAGTCGACGGGTGCCTCGGGTGTTGGGGTCGCTGGGGGGCTTTCAGAGTCGACGGGTGCCTCGGGTGTTGGGGTCGCTGGGGGGCTTTCAGAGTCGACGGGTGCCTCGGGTGTTGGGGTCGCTGGGGGGCTTTCAGAGTCGACGGGTGCCTCGGGTGTTGGGGTCGCTGGGGGGCTTTCAGAGTCGACGGGTGCCTCGGGTGTTGGGGTCGCTGGGGGGCTTTCAGAGTCGACGGGTGCCTCGGGTGTTGGGGTCGCTGGGGGGCTTTCAGAGTCGACGGGTGCCTCGGGTGTTGGGGTCGCTGGGGGGCTTTCAGAGTCGACGGGTGCCTCGGGTGTTGGGGTCGCTGGGGGGCTTTCAGAGTCGACGGGTGCCTCGGGTGTTGGGGTCGCTGGGGGGCTTTCAGAGTCGACGGGTGCCTCGGGTGTTGGGGTCGCTGGGGGGCTTTCAGAGTCGACGGGTGCCTCGGGTGTTGGGGTAGCTGGGGGGCTTTCAGAGTCGACGGGTGCCTCGGGTGTTGGGGCCGCTGGGGGGCTTTCAGAGTCGACTGGTGCCTCGGGTGTTGGGGCCGCTGGGGGGCTTTCAGAGTCGACTGGTGCCTCGGGGGTTGGGGCCGCTGGGGGGCTTTCAGAGTCGACTGGTGCCTCGGGGGATGGGGCCGCCGGGGTCTCAGACTCTACTGGTGCCTTGGGAGATGGGGCCGCCGGGGTCTCAGACTCTACTGGTGCCTCGAGGGATGGGGCCGCCGGGGTCTCAGACTCTACTGGTGCCTCGGGGGATGGGGCTGCCGGGGTCTCAGACTCTACTGGTGCCTCGGGGGATGGGGCTGCCGGGGTCTCAGACTCTACTGGTGCCTCGGGGGATGGGGCTGCCGGGGTCTCAGACTCGACTGGTGCCTCGGGGGATGGGGCTGCCGGGGTCTCAGACTCGACTGGTGCCTCGGGGGATGGGGCCGCCGGGGTCTCAGACTCGACTGGTGCCTCGGGGGATGGGGCCGCCGGGGTCTCAGACTCTACTGGTGCCTCGGGGGATGGGGCCGCCGGGGTCTCAGACTCTACTGGTGCCTCGGGGGATGGGGCCGCCGGGGTCTCAGACTCTACTGACGCCTCGGGGGATGGGGCCGTCGGGGTCTCAGACTCTACTGGCGCCTCGGGGGATGGGGCTGCTGGGGCTTCAGAGTCGACTGGTGCTTCAGGTGATAAGGCCACTGGGGTTTCGGGTGATGGGGCCACCGGGGTTTCAGAGTCGACTGGTGCTTCGGGTGATGGGGCCGCCGGGGTTTCAGAGTCGACTGGTGCTTCAGGTGATAAGGCCACTGGGGTTTCGGGTGATGGGGCCGCCGGGGTCTCAGACTCTACTGGCGCCTCGGGGGATGGGGCCGCCGGGGTCTCAGACTCTACTGGCGCCTCGGGGGATGGGGCCGCCGGGGTCTCAGACTCTACTGGCGCCTCGGGGGATGGGGCCGCCGGGGTCTCAGACTCTACTGGCGCCTCGGGGGATGGGGCCGCCGGGGTCTCAGACTCTATTGGCGCCTCAGGGGATGGGGCTGCTGGGGCTTCAGAGTCGACTGGTGCTTCAGGTGATAAGGCCACTGGGGTTTCGGGTGATGGGGCCGCCGGGGTTTCAGAGTCGACTGGTGCTTCAGGTGATAAGGCCACTGGGGTTTCGGGTGATGGGGCCGTCGGGGTTTCAGAGTCGACTGGTGCTTCAGGTGATAAGGCCACTGGGGTTTCGGGTGATGGGGTCGCCGGGGTTTCAGAGTCGACTGGTGCTTCAGGTGATAAGGCCACTGGGGTTTCGGGTGATGGGGTCGCCGGGGTTTCAGAGTCGACTGGTGCTTCAGGTGATAAGGCCACTGGGGTTTCGGGTGATGGGGTCGCCGGGGTTGCAGAGTCGACTGGTGCTTCAGGTGATAAGGCCACTGGGGTTTCGGGTGATGGGGCCGCCGGGGTTTCAGAGTCGACTGGTGCTTCAGGTGATAAGGCCACTGGGGTTTCGGGTGATGGGGCACCCGGGGTTTCAGAGTCGACTGTTGCCTCGGGTGATGGGGCCGCTGGGGTTTCGGGTGATGGGGTCGCCGGGGTTTCAGAGTCGACTGGTGCTTCAGGTGATAAGGCCACTGGGGTTTCGGGTGATGGGGTCGCCGGGGTTTCAGAGTCGACTGGTGCTTCAGGTGATAAGGCCACTGGGGTTTCGGGTGATGGGGCACCCGGGGTTTCAGAGTCGACTGTTGCCTCGGGTGATGGGGCCGCTGGGGTTTCAGAGTCGACTGTTGCCTCGGGTGATGGGGCCGCTGGGGTTTCAGAGTCGACTGTTGCCTCGGGTGATGGGGCACCTGGGGTTTCAGAGTCGACTGTTGCCTCGGGTGATGGGGCACCTGGGGTTTCAGAGTCGACTGTTGCCTCGGGTGATGGGGCACCTGGGGTTTCAGAGTCGACTGTTGCCTCGGGTGATGGGGCACCTGGGGTTTCAGAGTCGACTGTTGCCTCGGGGGATGGGGCAGCCGGGGTTTCAGAGTCGACTGTTGCCTCGGGGGATGGGGCAGCCGGGGTTTTAGAGTCGACTGTTGCCTCGGGGGATGGGGCAGCCGGGGTTTCAGAGTCGACTGTTGCCTCGGGTGATAGGGCAGCCGGGGTTTCAGAGTCGACTGGTGCCTCGGGGGATGGGGTCGCCGGGGTCTTTGAGTCGACTGGTGCCTCGGGGGATGGGGCCGCCGGGGTCTCAGAGTCGACTGGTGCCTCGGGGGATGGGGCCGCCGGGGTCTTAGAGTCGACTGGTGCCTCTGGTGACGAGGCTGCCGGGGTGTGAGAGTCGACTGGTGCCTCTGGAGATGGGGCCGCCGGGGTCTCAGAGTCGACTGGTGCCTCGGGTGACGAGGCTGTCGGGGTGTGAGAGACTGGTGCTTCGGGTGACGAGGCTGCTGGGGTGTGAGAGTCGACTGGTGCTTCGGGTGATGAGGCAGCTGGGGTGTGAGAGTGAACCGGTGGTTGGGGTGATGAGGCCGATGGTGTGTGAGAGTGAACTGGTGGTTGGGGTGATGAGGGCGTTGGTGGTTGGGAGTGTAATGAAGGTGGAGAAAGAGGATGATGAATACGTCCTGGGGTTTGTGGTGTGTGTGGTGAGTGTGACTTCCATGGCCACGGCATCGACGACGGCGATGGCGCTCCTCCGCCGCACATAGCCTTACTGCAATCAACACTCTTGCTGGTCACCGGAGTACATGCCTCGGCCGCCTTCTGCTTGGGCCTCTCGGGCAAGCAATTTGCAGTATCATCGAACACAACATCCTTTCTACTCTGCGGCACGCACTTCTCCGCCTCGCCATTGAAGAAATTGTTAGAGAAGGTGAATTCAGCCAATTTGGGCAAGTTGCACAAGCCTTCCTCCACAACCCCAGTCAAGGAATTGTTAGAAATATCCAAAATCTCGACCTTCTTTAGGCCATCGAAGCTCTTGGACAAGATCCCACTAAACATGTTGGCGGAAATATCGAAAACCACGGCATTCCCAAGCATCCCAACTTCAGGGGGCAAACAACCAGCGAAATCATTGTTCAACATTACCAACTGGTTCAGTGTGTTCCCCATTTTTCCAATGCAGCTCGGAACGCATCCCGTGAAATGGTTGTAGGCAAACACAATCACCGACGCCGGCGAATCCCCAAAAGTATCGGGAATGTTGGAGGTGAATCTGTTGTTGTTAAGGAAAATGGCATCGAGTGTCTTGTTGAAAAGTTGAGGAGGCAATGGGCCTTCGAAATTATTGAACCTGAGGTCAAGAAATTTCAGATTAGGAATCCTCACAACCACCTCAGGAAAATAGCCAACAAATCGGTTGTTGCTAAGGTCGAGCTCGTGAAGCAGAGTCATCCTCGAGAAGCTGGTTGGGATGATCCCGCAGAATCGGTTGGTGTTGATATGGAATAAGGCTATGTCGGCAAGCAGACCGAGCTCGACCGGCAGGTAACCAGCAATGTCGGCGTGGTTAAGGTCAATGCCGGCGACGACTTCGACGGTGGAGTCGTCGAGAGCAGTAGCGCAGTAAACTCCAGTGTAGTGGCAGACATCAGCGCCAACCCAATTGGCGGTGGTGTTTAAAGGGTCTGAATAAATAGCCACCTTCCAGGCTTGAAGCGCAACGTATGCCCGTCGGAGCCTTGGATTGGCAAAGGTCTCATTGATTTCGACCTTGGGATCGTAATTGTCAGGCAAATCTTCGTTCATATGCAGGGCTAGAAGTTGGCGGCCGGCAATGAAAGAAGCTTCCGCATCAGTAAGCGCCGTAGACAAAATTGAAAATGATGACAGAAGAACACAGATAAACAAACAACAGCCCAAGCCCTTCATCTTGTACTATCTAAACTTCCTCAAACTACTGCTGCCTCCTTGGATAGATGCCTACAACGGAATGTTTGGAATGGGATGAAGATTAATGGGGACTCCGGCGGTGTTTTATACTGGAGGGGAGTGGGTCGCTTCGGTGGTCCAGATGCTTTTCCGCCGTGCCCAACAGTCATTTTCCGAATATAGCCGATTCCCATTGAAATCCTCCCGAGTTTGTTGAGTTCGTTTTTCGGTGGTCTTTTCAATGATCGGCTCGCCGTGATTTTTCTCTGTGTTTATTTCATTTTTCTGTTGGGCCAATGGGCTAATGTCTCTTTAAGCAGAAGAAGATGCCGAATTTGGCCCATGCTGAAAATACTGTTTTAATGTTGGGCCAGGCCCATTGTCTTAAAGCGGCGCAGCCCAAATAGGGCTTCTTTTTGCTTGGGGCCCATTATGACAGTATTTTGAACATTTTAATTTCTTTTAATATTATTAACCCAAAAAAAAAATTCTTTTTTCTTTTTCATTTCATTACTCTGTTTTGTTTTGGGGCTGCATTTACTTCCAGCTGAGAGAATGAATGAAGAAAGTGGCGGGGTGGTTGGTCGAGTTGCCGACACTGGTTGGAGGAGTTGGTGTCGGATGCTGTATTATGCAGTTATGTTTCGTCCTATGCCTCAATCTAACAATGTTCTTTTGTTTTTATGCACCATCTCTCCCATTCTCTTGTCAACTTTCGTTTTTGATGGTTTTGTTCTTGGGATTATCTTTTTGGGCTTGTCTGTGGACATTGTAGTGGTATGTTCTTCGTAATGCTTCCTAGGTTCTATTAAAGCTATGTGAAAATGGGTGTTTGGGATTTTCTGGAATCTTTGGGATTCTCAGTTCAAAAAAGCGAAAGGCATCTTGGGACTTTTGATTGTGATGGCTTTGAATCTGGGTTTTGCATCTTTTTGCAATAGATATCTTTTTTTTTTTTTTTTTTTTTTTTTTTGAATTTTTGAATGAGTTGCTGATGTAGCTCAATTTTGAAACCAAAACATTTCCAGTCATGGGCCCTTGCCATTTGAATTGAAAACCCAAAAGAGAGAGAAAAGAGAATCAGAGACCCTTCTTTTGTTTTCAGTTTGTTGGGTTTGAATTTCGAATTTGGGAGCTTCTTCTGCTTAAAGCCTGTGTTTCTTGAACTAGAGCTGTACAATTTTTGTTCTCTTTGGCTTTATGTAGAATTCATGCATCTTTCACTATGGAAACCGTTGTCACATTACGCCGCTTTAATCATGGACAAGAAAACCAGAAGGCGACACGGTTCTGGTCTAACGGAGAGGCGCAAATCTTCCATTCTCAGGAAATTGCAAGAAAACAGGCTCAGAGAGGCTCTGGAAGAAGCTTCTGAAGATGGGTCTCTCGCAAAATCCAGAGACATTGACTATGAATCGCCAAATCAGGACAGAAATGTTCGACGGTCGAGATCTCTCGCTCGACTTCATGTCGAAAAGGAGTTTCTACGCGCCACTGCACTCGCCGCCGACCGGACCTATTGCACCGGGGATTTGATTCCAAATCTCTTTGATGCCTTCACCAAGTTCCTCACTATGTACCCAGAATTCCAGTCGTCGGAAAAAATCGACCAGTTGAGATCAGAAGAGTACGAGCATCTCTCGGAATCGTTCTCGAAGGTATGTCTTGATTACTGTGGTTTTGGTTTATTTTCCCATGTTCAAACGCAGCAATTTTGGGAGTCTTCTGCGTTTACTCTCTCTGAAATCACTGCCAATTTGAGCAACCACGCACTTTACAGTGGCGCCGAGAAGGGCACGATTGAACACGATATCAAGACTAGGATTATGGATTATCTGAACACTTCTGAGAATGAATATGGGCTTGTTTTTACAGCCAGTAGGGGATCGGCCTTTAAGCTCCTGTCCGAGTCTTACCCTTTTCATACAAACAAGAAATTGTTGACTATGTTTGATCATGAGAGTCAATCTGTGAGTTGGATGGCTCAGAGTGCTAAACAAAGAGGTGCAAAGGTTTACAGTGCATCGTTTAAATGGCCAACATTGAGACTCAGCTCAAGGGAGCTGAGGAAACAGATTACAAACAAGAGGAAAAGGAAGAGGAAGAAGGATTCTGTTGGTGGCCTTTTTGTGTTTCCTGTTCAATCAAGAGTTACAGGGGCGAAGTATTCTTACCAGTGGATGGCACTTGCCCAGCAGAACAATTGGCATGTATTGCTGGATGCTGGCTCGCTCGGTCCTAAGGACATGGATTCCTTGGGGCTCTCCCTCTTCAGGCCAGATTTTATCATCACGTCGTTTTATCGTGTTTTCGGGTCTGATCCAACTGGGTTTGGCTGCCTGTTGATTAAGAAATCTGTTATAGGGAGCTTGCAAAACCAATCTGGGCGGACTGGTACAGGAATGGTGAGGATACTCCCCATTTTTCCGCATTATTTTGGTGATTCTTTTGGTGGTTTGGATGTCTTATCTGGGACTGAAGATGATGCAATCAATGATCAGGAGGATTCCGAAACTGAGAAGCATCAGGAACCACGCATGCCTGCTTTTTCAGGCGTGTTTACGTCGAACCAGGTGAGGGATGTGGTCCAGACTGAAATGGAGCAAGATTATAATAGCTCAGACAGGGATGGGGCAAGTACCATTTTTGAGGAAGCTGAGAGTATCTCAGTTGGCGAGGTTATGAAGAGTCCAATCTTCAGTGACAACGAGTCGCCAGACGATTCATATTGGATTGATTTGGGTCGGAGTCCATTCGGTTCTGATAATTCAGTCCATTTGATCAAGCAAAAAACATGGTTGCCCTTGCCACCATCTTGGTTTTCTGGAAAGCGGAGCAGTAGCCATCTTTCACCAAAACCAGCATCTAGGTTGATGAAAAGTCCTATGTATGGTGATGATAAGCAGGCAAAGGATTCTCGTGTTGTTAGTGAAATTCAGGAGGATTCAGAAATTGGAGAAGAATCGATTTTGACGAGGTTAAGTTTTGCCTCAAACGGAACCCGACCTGCGAATCAAACTTCTGAGTTTCGGGATCTGAAGCTCTCAAATTCCACTACATCAGGAGCCTTCAAAGACCTGAAGGAAAGTGCTATAAGAAGGGAGTCAGAGGGGGAGTTCAGACTCTTGGGTAGGAGGGAAAGGAGTAGATTTTCTGAACTTGGGTTCTTTGGCTTAGAAGAGGGAGATAGCGCGATTAGCACGGGTCATCGGGTATCATTTAGCGTAAAATATAATGAAAAGCAAAGTTTGCATGAGATGTTCGAGCTTGGAGAAGCATCTAATGCAGCCTTTGGCGATGAGGAATCGACCAGTGATGGAGATTATGACGATGAGCAAGAATGGGGAAGGAGGGAGCCTGAAATGATCTGTCGTCATCTCGATCATACTGATATGTTGGGCCTCAACAAGACTACCCTCCGACTAAGGTATCTCATTAACTGGCTTGTCACTTCGTTGCTTCAACTCCGGTTACCCGGTCGAGAAAGTGTAGGGGTTCACCTTGTACAACTGTATGGACCAAAGATCAAATATGAAAGAGGTGCTGCAATTGCTTTCAATGTAAAAGAGAGCAATGGAAGAGGGCTAATACATCCGGAAGTTGTACAAAAACTGGCTGAAAATAATGGAATATCTCTTGGAGTTGGCATTCTTAGCCATGTGCAGGCGATGGACGTTCCGAAGCAGAATTCGGGACAGTGCGAACTCGAAGACATGGCATTGTGCAAACCCATGGCTAATGGACATAACAAGAAGAAACCATTTTTCCGAGTCGAGGTCGTCACAGCTTCCCTTGGATTCCTCACCAACTTTGAAGATGTTTATAAAATGTGGGCTTTCATAGCCAAGTTTCTAAATCCATCATTTCTCGAAAACGAAACTTTGTCTTCCATCCCTGAGAGTTCGGAATCCTACCACAGGAGCCTGTTTTAGAACGCGCTTCTCCATGTTAAACATCAACGCGAAACTGTGAGAGTCTAACGCTTCCTGCTAAGCTGGTGAGAATTCAGTCATACTGACTGAGACGACGAACACACGGCTCGTGCTCGTTGTGGCTGGCTACCTCCAGTGAAACTCGTACTGGTTTGGCTGGTCTCCGCCATTGATTGATCTTCTTATATAGAATATACAAGATTGCAATTTACAAACTTATTTGAGATTGTAAATCTTTTGTGCATTTCCTGACGGATATAGAATCTCTAATCTTTGATTTTGCCTTGATCTTCTATTTTGATTGTATTTGTTTGTATAAGGATGTGAACTGGTCGTTACTTGATGGATTTCTCTTCCATTTTCTGATAAAAAAACACTTCCAGATTTGGGTTGTTGCATTTGACATTTATTCTAAATGTCTCTGTTTGTCTGAAAGGCTTATGCTTTCCCTTCTTCCATCACAACAGCCAGTACCCACCATAAATTTTGGCCCGAGTCTTCGAACAAAGTACCTTTTTTTTTCGTTAGCCGTGATTATGACTCTACTGTGCTTTTGAGGATTTTATTGATATGACTAAGTTAAGATAAAGTACGACACACTAAAAAGCCACAACACTTCCATTTGTTACCACGTAGAACTGCATAAAGATGTTGTGTGGGAGGTTGATGTCACATTATTGACATTCCCAAATTTGGATTGAATGCCCAACTCCAAGCCTTCCATATGGGAAAAAGAGAAAGTTGATGAATAAGAAAAGAATTCCCGACAATGGTGTTGAGAGTTCGGTGCTGTGTCAGCGAGACTCTACCAGATCTAAAGAATTCGTCCATTAGAAGAAAAATAAAAGAAAAAGAAATTTAAAAAATTGAATTTAGTTAAAAGAAAAATAAGACTAGTAAAACCTGTGAGTAATAAACAAACAAAATAATAATAATAATAATAATAATAAAAGGAACCTAAGTGAAATTAAATTCAAAATTATGAATATATTTAAAAATCCATGTAAACTTAAATTTTTGGTAAAAGTATATATTTCTTTTATTAGAAAAGTCACAGCCAGAATGACCGTACGGTTAACTGACACACTCCACACGTGCGATCGTGGCACCCGCGAACTTGCCAGCATCCCTCGAAACTCAAATCTCTCCAGCAGGCGACCGGAACTTCCATTATTTCTCCATTAATTTTTGGTTCTCCGTAGGGTTTTCAATACCTTTTCTTCTCTTTTACCTCTCAATGTTTTGCTTTGTGGCGAAAATTTCTTCGTTTTCGTTTGTATCAGCAAAATATTTCTCTAATCCCTGTTGCCTG